CACGCCTGTAATCCCAACACTTTGGGATGCTGGAGGCAGGTGGATCACCTGAGGTCAGGAGTTCAAGACCAGTCTGGCCAACATGGTGAAACCCCATCTCTACTAAAAATACAAAAATTAGCCAGGCATGGTTGCGGCTCCCTGTAATCCCAGCTACTCGGGAGCTCTAGAGTCTGAGGCCAGAGAATGACTTGAACCCAGGAGGCAGAGGTTGTACTGAGCCAAGATTGCACTACATTACACTACAGCTTGGGCAATAAGAGCAAACCTCCATCTCAAAAAAAAAAGAGCATTTAGGGGCCTTTTGGCATATAATCAATTTCTAAAACTAACATAACTTGGCTAGCATGCTGTTGTATTAGTTTATTTTTCGTATGTATCTGTGTTATCCTCCCTAGATTATTTGCCCATGAGCTGGTTCTGTGGTACATAGTCTTTGACCTTGGGCAAGGAAATTAGTCTCTCTCCTGAACAAGTTTCCTCATCCACCAAATAATGTCAGTGACGGTATGTCTCAGGGTTGTGGTAGAGTTTAAAGAGCGTGATGTATGTAAATCCTTTAGAAGATGCTTGGCACATAGCACGAAGTAACTGGTTAGTGATATTTTCTTTATCATGTTTACATTGTTACTCTTAAAGGAAGGAGGGAAATATATGTCCTCATAGCCTTAGTAACACCTACCATAGTGCTATACATTTAAATAAATATAGTACTCATAATTAAATGCCTTGGCCCAATAATCTAATGTAAATTTGGGTTACAGTTTTTATTATTTGGAGCAGTGATTCTTAACTCTGAATTAGCTATTTGTAGATTATTTTAAATTAGTAAAAAGTTTCTATTTGCTCATTTGTTTGAAGAAAGTAAAAAGAAAAACAATTAGTAAAAAGTAAAACTACTGTAATTTCAGAAATTAGATATTAAGGAGCTCAAGAGTCTAGATCAAAAAATTCAGAAAATAACTTGTAGCTTTCTAGGTAGTACACTGATTAGGATACAGGGCTTTTAGTTTCTCTAAAAATCATCACTTGTGACATTTTATAGTGTTACTTTTTGGTTTTTGTTTTTTGGTTTTTTTTTTTTTTTTTTTTTTTTTGACAGAGTCATGCTCTGTCGCCCAGGCTGGAATACAGTGGTGTGATCTCGCCTCACTGCAACCTCTGCCTCGTAGGTTCAAGTGATTCACGTGCCTCAGTCTCCTGAGTAGCTGGGATTACTGGCGTGTGCCAGCATGCCCAGCTAATTTTCATATTTTTAGTAGAGACGGGGTTTAACCATGTTGGCCAGGCTGGTCTCGAACTCCTGACCTCAAGTGATCCACCCACCTCGGCCCCCCAAAGTGCTGGGATTATAGGCATGACCCACAGTTGGCAATTAGGGACCAAGGAATCCTTTCTAAAGCTTTGCAAGTAAGTAGAAAACTTTTTTTTAGCTCATGAATTATTTGACCAGTTTCTCCCCTGGAGAAACAATCAGCACTCCATCATTCACCCAAAGTAGGGGAAGACAAATAGTCATAACCTTTGAGTATAGTTACTTTTGGTAGGGGAATTAAATCCAGGCTATTTTGTCATGGATTACTATTACAATATTTTGCATTTCCTGGGCAAAAATGGACTGGCCTTGGGGATTCGCAGCACAGAAGCGTGAGCTCAGGATTGAAAGTTTCCCGTGAAAGTGCACGTAAAGATAAGATAATCAAGTGTTGACTGCGTACATACAAAGTGAAAACATCATTGTTTACCACTTTATCCAGTTAAATATTTATTTGTGTAGGGCGGTAACAGTGTACCCTATTTAATGACTCCTTCTTGTAAGCTATCACTAATAGAATGGGGCAGAGAGCAAAGCGAGGAGGCAGGAAATATTTTATGTGTGCACTAAAAAGCTCTAATTGTCAGCTTTCTCCTCCCAGCAATGCATGGCCATTTAGAGGCAGTCAAGGTGCTTCTTAAGAGGTAAGAACAATATAACAAGTTGGGGAAAATATTTGCTAACTATGACAAAGAGTTATTATCAGTGCTACATAAAGAGCTCAGACACATTTTTGAGAAAGAAATTAGGCTTTCAAAAGAAAAATAAAAGACATAAGCAGATAAAGAATATAAAAAATAACAAATATCTGGGGAAAATGTTTTCAGTGGCAAAATCATCCATTTTTCTATCTTTTTCAACAAGCATTTATACAAATTCATTTAGCACTTAATATAAAGTAAGCCCTGTACCAGGTGCAGGGGCCACAACAGAACAAGACACATGTAGTTTCTACCCTCCTGGAACTCACAGACTGGCAGGAAAGACAGACCATGAAGGAGTCCCGAAAGTCCGGTGTGCATTACAAGGACTTTCAGGATCCCTACAGAACAAATAATGGGAAGACCCAATTTGGCCTAAGAGTAAACAATCTCAGCGCCAGTGTTTAAGCTGTGACCTGAAGGAGAAAAAGAAATTAGCTGAAAGCGGGAGGCAAGGGAGCATTCCAGAGAGCAATAACAGCACCCATGGATGCTCCCAACCAGGAAAAAGTGTGGTAGATTTAAGAAACCGAAAGATGCCTAGAGTATGCTGAAGCCTGAACATTGAAGGAGAGGGTGAATGCTATCAGCCACATTGAGTTTTCCCTTTTTTTTTTTTTTTTTTTAAGTTTTTGAGATGGAGTTTCCCTCTTGTTGCCCAGGCTGGACTGCAGCGGCGCAATCTCAGCTCACTGCAACCTCCACCTCCCAGGCTCAAGCGATTCTCCTGCCTCAACCTCTTAAGTAGCTGGGATTGCAGGTGCATGCCACCACACCCAGCTAATTTTTTATATTTTTGGTAGAGGCAGGGTTTCACCATGTTGGCCAGGCTGGTCTTGAACTCCTGACCTCAGGTGATCCACCCACCTTGGTCTCCCAAAGTGCTGGGATTACAGTCGTGAGCCACCATGCCCAGCTTGGACACAGATGTCTTAAATATTTTGGCTGTGGAATTGAGGGATGGGGGTAATCAATTGATTAGGAAGGATGAGGGAAAGACAGTGGGAAGGGGTGACTTCAGGGCCTCTGGTGCAGGAAGCTGAAGAGACCAAGTGCTGTCAAATGGGATGGAGAAGGTTAGAGGAACAACGGGTCTGCTGGGGAAGACCATCATGCTCCTGAAGGCTTAGTGCTCAGTTCGGACACTGAGATGGGGGAGAATAGAGAGAGCTCCATGCTCACAGGCCATTTCCACACATGCAGTCCACCTGCAGATGATCAGGTGTCAACTGTCCCTTGGGTTTGAGGTGATGAATTTTCTCAGCTCTTACTTGGGGTTTTGGCTCTAGGTGCCAATATGAACCAGACTACGGAGACAACTGTGGCGTCACCCCCTTGATGGATGCAATCCAGTGTGGTCACATTGATGTCGCTAGGCTGCTCCTTGATGAACATGGGGTATAAAAATGGTTGTGTTTTTATTCTTTTATTTCTTCTTACAAATTTTAGATCACAGGATAAACAGAGCACATCGTTGCTCAGATCCCAGAGCATTCCCCAGCCCCTCCAAACTCTCTCTGCGACTTGGTGACCTCTTTAAGCACCAGTGTTCCCATCTGTAAAATGGAGAGAAATTTAGTTTCTTCAGAAAGTTTTACGAGGACTAAATAATATAATGTACATAAAGCAGTTGGCAAAATATTCAGTAAATGGTAGCTATTTTATAGCAATAATAACAACAAATTGTCTCTGCTGAGAGTGCTTTTGGCACCATAGCCTGGAACATTGAATCATAACCATCTTTTTGATTTGAGAGCAGGGCACGATGGCTCATGCCTGTAATCCAGCACTTTGGGAGACCAAAGCAGGTGGGTAACCTAAGGTCAGGAATTTGAAACTAGCCTGGCCAGCATGTTAAAACCTATCTCTACTAAAAATATAAAAATTAGCCAGGTGTAGTGGCACACACCTGAGGCTGAGGCAGGAGACTTGCTTGAACGAAGGAGATGGAGGTTGCAGTGAGCCCAGATTGCACCACTGCACTCCAGCCTGAGCAACAGAGTGAGACTTTGTCTCAAAAAAAAAGAGTCCTTTGAGGATGAGACAAAAGCCACATATCCTCCACCCAGAGAGCTATGCGTAAACAGCTCAGTTCTGCTGAAGCGCCAGCAGGTGCCCAGATCTGAGTTGCCCTGTTTCTTATCTTTGACCTTTGCTCCTTTCTCTCCTCTGCCCACTAGGCTTGCCTTTCAGCAGAAGACAGCCTGGGTGCCCAGGCCCTGCACAGGGCAGCTGTCACGGGGCAGAACAAAGCCATCCGATTCTTGGTCTCTGAACTTGGCATCGATGTAGATGTGAGAGCCACGTCAACCCACCTCACAGCACTGCATTATGCAGCTAAGGTTTGTTACTTCTTACAACATTGTCCCAGCTTCCCCGAGGCTTGCCTTACTCCATTGATGGGTAGCTCCGTAGCCTGGTTTCTTTGGCCCCATCTCTGTGGAGGAAATTGCCCATGATATTCTTCTGAAATGGTCAGGATTCTGAAGCAGTTTATCTCTTCAAACAGAAACCTGACTTGAATTTGTTTCTAGGCAAAAACTTACTTAAAAAAAAAACTTTTACTCCATAGAGTGCCTCCCTGCTCACACACAGGTTTTTGTTTTCAGGAATAATGTTATTTGAAGCCATAAATACCCATTGTATGAAATTCTTGGCTCTCCATTCTTATACTGGATTCCAGAAGTTAAGAACTCTTCAGCCAGGGCAAGAGAATTGCATTTACTAGGCTCTCTGGGGTGTGAAATATTGAAGATAAACAAACATTTTCAGTGGAAAAGTAGCTATTTTAAATGCTAGGAGCGTTTTGCATATTATCCTTAACATTATCTATTGGCTCTATGCCTTTACTTATTTTTTGTTTTTTTGTTTGTTTTTGTTTTTGCTTTTGTTTTGAGATGGAGTCTTGCTCTGTTGCCCAGGCTGGATTACAGGTGCGTGCCACCATGCCTGGCTAATTTTTGTATTCTTAGTAGAGACAGAGTTTCACCATGTTGGCCAGGCTGGTCTTGAACTCTTGACCTCATGATCCACCCACCTCGGCCTTCCAAAGTGCTGGGATTACAGGTGTAAGCCACCACGCCTGGCCTACTTGTTTTTCTAATCAATTACATTCTCCTGCCTGATGTCTTGCTTTCAAGCATCTGGGTAGATACACATGGATGTGCTCTGTGGCCACAGGGTCCTCCCATAGGAAGAGTGAACCTGGAACCTTAATTGTAGTCTCATCACATAGTAGCAGACTAACTGGCTAGACAAAGAGTGTATAAATTATTTCATAGGCCGAGCGTGGTGACTCACTCCTGTAATCCCAGCACTTCAGGAGGCCGAGGCAGGTGGATCATGAGGTCAGGAGATCAAGACCATCCTGGCTAACATGGTGAAACCCCGTCTCTACTAAAAATACAAAAAATTAGCCGGACATGGTGACAGGTGCCTGTAGTCCCAGCTACTAGGAAGGCTGAGACAGGAGAATGGCATGAACCCGGGAGAAGGAGCTTGCAGGGAGCCGAGATCGCGGCCACTGCACTCCAGACTGGGCAACAGAGCAAGAAAAAAAGAAAAAGATCAAGACCATCCTGGCTAACATGGTGAAACCCTGTCTCTGCTCAAAAAAATACAAAAAAATTTAGGCTGGGTGTGGTGATGCATGCTGGTAGTCCCAGCAACTAAGGAGGCTGAGGCAGAAGGATCACTTGAACCCAGGAGGCAGAGGTTGCAGTGAGCCAAGATCATGCCACTGCACCCCAGCCAGACTACATCTCAAGACTACATCTCAAATATATATATTTATTTATTTTATAAATAATATTTTATTTTAAAAAATATAATAATTCCTACTAGCTGTAATAGGAATTCCCATTTATGAGAGGTTATGATCTTTTCTAGTTTATCTGTGCCCTAAAGATTTTAACGAAGAGTGTATTTGCTTGGGAAATTTTAGAGTTTTGGGTTCTGTATAAATCACAAGATTTGTACTGCTCACAATGATGGAAACTAACTGCATTGGGTCAGTAATTTGGCCCACAGAGTTGATCATCTATATTCTAATAATTAAATGTCACCAAAATGTTTATTTACTGATTTATACTAGAATTGAGAATGATACACTATCTTACTTTAGATATGAAAATTTGGCCAGGCACAGTGGCTCACACCTCTAATCCCAACACTTTGGGAGGCTGAGGTGGGAGGATCCCTTGAGCCCAGGAGTTTGCAATCAGTCTGGACAACATAGTGAGACCTTGTCTCTACAAAAAAAAAAAGAATAAATTAGGGGAAAAAAGATATGAAAATTCACTTTTAGCAGTTGACTGTTTTAGAAAAGGTGCCTAATGTATGTTAGAGTCTGGGTTTAAAGTGTGAAAGGAAAATAAAAACTTAAGATCCCCAAGTCACTCTGCCAAAAGAAAAAAAAATTAAACTGAAAGCTGAGTCATACGGAAAGCTGCCTTTCCTTTTGTTCCTAAGCAGATAGCTACAGATAAAGGGTTAAATATTTCCACAGGTAGCTACTTTATATTCACCTTATCTTGTGTAAAGTGCCAATTTACTGAGAAGGAGATATTTAGTGTATCGTTGCCTATTCCCCCCACCTATTCCTTTTATCCTGCAGCGTGGATTCAGTAATGTGACCGTACCCTCCCCTCCTTTTCACTCCAGCCCTCTTCCCTTTAAATATTGAAGCCCTCAAAATAATCTTTGAAGAAAGACACAGATTTGTCTCTCGGGTACGTCCTTAACCTTGGCAAAATAAACGTCTACATTGATTGAGACCCCTCTCAGATACTTTGTGGTTCGCAAAAGGTTTTCTTTTATCCTCCTCACAGTGATAACAAATTTGTTTCCATTCAGGAAGGACATACAAGTACAATTCAGACTCTCTTATCCTTGGGAGCTGACATCAATTCTAAAGATGAAAAAAATCGATCAGGTACCGTTTAGTTTTATATATGCCTTGGAAATTAGTAAACTGAGTATAACCAATACACTTTTATATTTAAAACATTGATTTTATATTCTTCCTTTTTTTTTTTT